TTCCTGGGTTCTTTCGTGGGTTATTTTTCAAATTAAAATACCCACGTTTTAGAAACGTGGCTTATTTTTCCCAAACAATAACCCACGTTTCTAAAACGTGGGTATTTTTTCCCAAAAAATAACCCACGTTTTTCTAGGGGAGGAATTCGAAAAGGGGGATGTGCGCGTGGGTACCGGAGGGCCCAGGAACTTTGAAGAATTCTTACAGCCCTGGACTTGTCGAGGAAACAAAAAGAAACTTGTTTTTGGTGTGGATTTGTACAAACCCTGGCTTGTACCGCGATCGAATGAATCAATAATTAAAATCAATCGATCAATCGATCAATCGGTTTTCCCCGGTGGCGAGGAGAAATTATGGTATCATATGTATGATAGGTACGAGGTTAAGTGTAATAACACTAGTAGTAAATACAGTAATCACTACTGTACTTTGTACGATACTGTACTTGGGTTCCTCTGCCGCTGGATTCGTTCGATTCGCGGTCACGATCGATGCATTCCATTCCTTCCTTCGAAAATACTGATGGATTCTGTCTCCGGTCCCCGATGCAGATACCGTACGATACGATACGGTATGGTACGGGACTGTACGGGACTGTATGGTACAAATTCTTCTCCCGAACGAATTGATTGATGGGTGTTGATTGACGACTTCTGTGTTCGGAGTGGAATTCGCAGCGAAGCTACACGGTACCGGTATGGTCACGAGTGCGGTACAATACGATTACGAGCAATGTAACCGTACCTACCCGTACAATACACTCGGAAGGAACTTTCGCAATCATCCGTTTCGGGTTTCCAACCAACCAATCATCCGATAGCTGTAGCCCTCGCGAACGACCACTCTTTCGGTTGCCGGCTTCTAGGTACTACTGCTTCACCGCGACACGGCACGCTACCGCGCCTCCCCCCCGGATCCGATCCGAACCGAACCGATCGACCAACGACCCCACCCCACCCCACCCCGATGGTTTCCGCGCGGGCCCTCCGGTCCCATAGAAGGACCGCCCTGCGAGCCGCCCTCGGTGGCCTTGCAACGGCGGGGATCCTCGAGGCCACGACGGAGCTCCCCTCCAGGGGCCGGTCCTCCCCGTTCTACCATTCCCTGGCGGACGCCTGGGTCGTCCCGGGGATGCGGCGCTTCCTCGATCCCGAAACAGCGCACGGAACGGCCCTGGCACTGGCGTGGCTGGCCCCGGTCCACAGGCCGTCCGAGAAAGAGGACAACCTGGACGTGGAGGTCCGGCTGTGGGGGGGGAGCAAGGGCCGCGAGAACGGAGGGGGGGGCAGCAACACAAGCACAAGCACAAGCGCAACCGAAACGGTCTTTCCGAATCCCATCGGCCTGGCGGCGGGATACGACAAGGACGGGACGGCGATCGGGCCGCTCCTGGCGATGGGCTTTGGCTTTGTCGAGGTGGGGAGCGTCTGCCTGAGGGCCCAGCCGGGAAACCCGTCGCCGAGGATGTTCCGGCTGGTGGAGGACGAGGCAATCATCAACCGGTACGGATTCAACAGCGAGGGGGCGGATGCGGTGGAGGCCCGCCTGAGGGACTACAGGGCCGAACGCCGAAACGGCAAGGGCCGGCCCTGGTGTTTCTCCGTGCGGGAAACACAAACACAAACACCGCCGCCCGCCGGTCCGGTCGGGATCAACCTGGGCAAGAACAAGGCCAGCGACACCCCCCTCGAGGACTACCGGAAACTCATCCTCCAGCTCGGACCCTATGCCGACTACCTCGTGGTCAACGTCTCGTGCCCGAACCTCTCGGGCCTGAGGGCGCTGCAGTCCGCCTCATCCCTCGAAGAACTCCTCGGGGGGTGCCTGGAAGCCCGGGACCAGCTGGCGGAAAAGGAAACCCCCGTCCGACCCCTAGGCGGAAACGAAAACAGCGGCGAAACCCCCACCCCTTCGCATCCACCACCACCCCACCGGCCCCCCCTCCTGGTCAAGCTCTCCCCGGACCTCACGGACGAGGAGCTCGAGAACCTTGCTTCCGTCCTGGTGAGGGTCGGGATCGACGGCATTGTGGTTTCCAACACGACCACCACCCGGCCGGAGGGCCTTCTTTCCCCACACCGGTCGCAGGAGGGGGGCCTCTCGGGCAGGCCCCTGGGGGAGCGCTCCACCGAGTGCGTCCGCCTCCTCTACGCCAAGACGAAGGGAAGCATCCCCATCGTCGGCGTCGGCGGCGTGAGAAACGGGAGGGACGCCTACGAGAAGCTCCGCGCGGGGGCGAGCCTGGTGCAGGTGTACACCGGGATGGTCTACGGGGGGCCGGGCCTGGTGTCCAGGATCCGGGACGAGGTCGCGGGGCTCATGCTCCGGAACGGGCAGAAGAGCGTCCAGGACGACGTGGTCGGGATCGACCACCCCGAACTGTTTGCCAAGCGGAAGAAGGAGAACGGCCCGTGAGCGAGTCCGAACGGGCAGGGCAAGGCAACCCAACGCAAGGCAACCCAACCCAACCAACACGCGATGGATGCCCTCGGCACGGCAAAGGGCCTCGAACCAAACGGCTTTGGTTCCGAACGAACACTACTACAGTAACTCCATTCAGTCATTTTGTTTCTTTCTATCCATCTCTATCCAACAACAACCACAACCACAACAACCACCACAAAACAAAGAGCTTAGTGATCGAGTTGCGTCAGGACGATCGCCCTGCGCTCTCGTTCCCCGCTTTCTTCGTCGTCGTCGTCGTCGTCATCGTCCTTCCAGACCAGGCGGTATTTTCGCAGCTCGCAATTGTCGAACCTGGATTCGACGCTCTTTGGTCCGCCGCTCTCGTCGCCGGGGGCACGCTTCCCTTGGGTCCGTTCGTCGCGGAGGTGCACCAGCGGGTGCAGGTTCATCAGGTACCGCAGGATCCCCCCGTGGCAGACCAGCAAGATGGTGTTTGTGCTGCTTCCGGCGTTGGAAAAATGGCTCTCCCAAGTCAGCAGGTCCGAGAGGCCCCTGTACCCCCGTTCCGCGGCGTCCTCGTACTTCTCCATCTCGGGGGTCCACGATTCGTCGGCCTCGGTGCGCAGGGAATCGAAGTTCCAGTTGGGATGCCTCGCCACCAGCTCCGATTTGGTGCGCCTCTTTCCGTTCAGCAGGTTCCCGTTGACCTCTCGGAAGTTCTCGATGCTGATCCGCGGGGGGGGGCGGAAGCAGGGAGGATCGTCGCCGCTTTCCCCCGGTACCCAGTGGGGAAAGACCAGATCGGCCGTGTCCATCGTCCGCGACAGGCAGCTGGCCACCACCAGGTCGATTCCGAGGGGATTGTTGTGGTGGTGGTTGCTTCCTTCTTCGCAACCGCCGCTTCGGCCCGGCGAGAAGTGGGCCCTCCGGCACCGTTCCCCCTGCTCCCTTCCGAGGTCCGTGAGATCGGCATCCAGCGCATCGTCCTCCCGCATCAGGCGGAAGAATTCTTCCATCGAGCAGCCCCTCTCTTTTGCGGCCTCGGCGCGGGGATTGTGCACGGCCTGGCCGTGGCGAACCACGTACAGAATCTTCGACGGCGAACGGCGACCGGACGGGGCGCCCGAGAGACCCCGGCCAGCGGTCTCTGCCACCGACGACCTGGTTACCGAGGAGGCTGTCAGACCGGCCATTAGAAATCTCCTCAGCATGGGCTTGCTCCGGACAGGAAAGCACCGTTCCACGAAGGGTTTGTGTGTGGAGCCGAGGAAGAATCGTGAAAAAAAAAAACGCGATGTTCTGTACGCAGGAGTACGGTACGTACGAGTAACGTACGATCTCGTTGCGGTACGTACGAGTTTGGGTTCGAAATGGTGAAAGTCCATCATATTCCAACTAGAGCTATTAATGGTAAGTCCCGTACTGGCAAGTTATTGGCAATTCC